TTGTAAATTGCTTCTGACATATCTCTAATTCAAGTATCAAGACACTTCCATTCGGATCCACATATTTTTCTAGTGCCTTAATTCCTTCTTTGATATATACCACTATCCCTCTCTGTTTATGTTCTGCCAGGGCTGTAAATAATGTTCCTAATTTTGGATATTCTAAAAATTTCCGAAATTGTTCTTTAATGTGTACTTCTTGTAGACATATTATTTCTACTTTTTCTTTTGCTAATCTTGTTATATTTGTTTTCTTTTGGTGGGTGAGTTCAGTCCGTCAATGTTTAATGATATTAGCCTGATTTCTTCTTCCGTCATCCTACTTACAGGTTGGTATCTGTCTTCTATTGATTCTTATTTCTCTTTGTGGGCATGTTCTTAGTTTTATTCCTTCTTTCCTTATTTAATTTCCTCTTTGTTTCCTCCTTCCTGTTCTGTTTCTCCCAATTCCTGTTGTTGGTCTTCTTGGCTTCCTGTCTCCAGTTCATCCCTGCTGCTAGTTTCTTCTTCCACTCCTACTATTTAATCATACAAATCCTGTGCTTTATCCAGATTGTCTATCTTCATCCTCTTCTCCTGCCATGATACCAACATCCCTTCTGGGGTAAGCCACTGGAACATATTTCTTTTAATCAGTTGCATTGCCAGAAATTCTCTGCTCTCTTACTTTCTTTGGGATCTGTTTTAAAGTTTGTATCTCTTTATTTTTGTATATTAATGGTTCATCCCTCATTATCTTATATATTATGTCCTTACTTTCTTCCTAGCAAACCTAATGTGAACTTCTCGTGGTAGTCTATTGTGTCTCGTGTAGCTAGTTTGGATTCTATAACCTTTGTCGATTTCTAGTAGGATCTCGTGACTGTCTCTCTAGAACTGGTGCAATTAGCTCTGCCATGATGGTGCTCAGGTCTTTCTCTTTGCTCTCCATAACATTCTGGAACCTCAAATAAAAAATCAGCATGATCCATCTCAAGGTGGATAATTTGTTCCTCTAATTCCTTATTCATTGTCATCACTTTTCTGTCTACTAACTCCAGTTTCTTCTAATTTTGTTCTGATCTGATTTCCACTACTTGTAGTTTTTGCTCATTATTCTCAATAGTTTGTTGTACAGTGTCTACTTTATCTTCTAGTTTATTAATGGTCCCCTTAATTTCTGCATGATTCTTTGACATATTCTCCTGCATCTTCATCATGGTTTCTTGGGTCATCAACAACAATGCTTGTATTGTTTACATATTAGATGTTGTGCTTTGTTTTTTGGCCCCAGCATTCCCTCAATTGTCTTCTGGCCAGCTGGAGATGAAACTGTCAGTGCTGGGTTGGATGTTGTCTTCTTTGTCTTTGTCATTGTGTAATGGCACTTGTCATATTTCTTAAGTTTCTATTTACTTCTGCCCACATTACCATCCACTTTATATTTTATTTTAAGAATTAGTTTAGGTTAGTCTTTTTTCCTTTTTTACTAATTTCTCTACTTATTTCTGTTTATAACTTACTCCAATCCCTCAGGTTTTCCTTGTTTTAAATACTTAAATACTTTTAAATTTACTATATCTCTACTAATCACAAAGCATACACTTATCACCAATATTTACCTCTCAGCCAAGCTTTTTCACACTGTTCTTATCTTATTTATACAATATATTACATTAATTCTTTTTGATCAATATGCTGAATGTTCTTAATTCTATTAAATAATAGTTATCTTAAATCTTCTTAAAAATAACTCAATGTTTCAATAGGTAAAATAGTAATAACACTTTTATCAATATAACAATCTAATTAATCAAAATGTCTATTACAAAGAGAAAGAGAATATGATTACAATTAAGAACCTAATTATCTATGAGCTGATTCACTGCTCACTCCGCCAAATTGCCGCCCGCTTTTCAGGGATTCCCCACCTGCCAGAGCTTCCTTTTTCAGTAAATATTCAGGACTCACTTTCTTTTTGGCAAATCACCACTGTTGCGCCTCTGGGATTTTCTAATCAACAATATCTTCACTCCCTTCTCATCTGTAGCTTAGTCATGGCCTTGGGTCTGCCATACTGGTATGACAGGCACTTTCACTTTAGATTTCAGGAGTTTCCTTTCATGGTGGCAGGTGATTGCCTTTCGCCTCACCGTCGTCCAGGCTTCCCCTCTGTTCTGCTCAGTTCTCCAGGCTCTTCACGCCCCTGAAGGTCCCCAAAAGTGGAAAAATGGGGTCCAGGGACGGAGACCGTTCTCCTTTCCCCCTTTCACCATGACATCACCACTAGAAGTCTCAATGTGATGCATAATAAAAAGGGGCAGAGCTTTAATAGCAGGGTCACAGTTGCCTTCTTGACACATCTTTGCAGCTGCTCCCACTGAGTAGGAACTCTGACTGGGGAATATGCATGATTGGATATATAAAAATCCCATCAATAGCAGGAAAAAATACATAAAGCAAGTAAAAAGCTAGCAAAAAGTTATATGGAAAATTGTTGATCTAAATCTTTAGTTTGTTCTCATAATGGATTGTATACACAATGAACTGAAATATAAACCACCTAGTCACACAAGGCTGAATGAATTAGTCAGTAAATATTTGCTTCTTGGCAGCACAAGTATTAAAAATGGGAAACAAAGGTAGAAGGATTTTAAGATCCACAAAAGCTAAGAGAAAGGTAATGAGAAATAGGAGAAAGGTAATGAAGAAACAAACTTATCTATCAATAGAAATATGCCTCTGTCCACATTATATAGGAGAGAGCTTTGGGTATGCCAAGACCATAAAGACAAGTGGAATGCAGTAGGAATGGAAGTATGTGTGCTTCAACATAAGAGAGTGAAGACTGAGTACAGACTGAATGCAAAATCAGTATGAAAAAAGTACATTAAGAGTCACAAAGAATGAATGAGAATGATTACAAAATTAATATATAAAGAAAAAATGAATTGATTAAAAGGACAGGGGAGGAATACCATGCTTAGATAGGGCCGATGAGTTTCTCAAAGAAAAGATTCTAAGTCTAAAAAAAGAGTAAAATACTGTATTAAATGATGTATGGATAGTGTACAAAAATAAATAAATACAGCAAATGGTGTCTCATTTCTTTACGCCTCTTTTCACCAGGAACTTTAGCACTGCAACTGGCTTTTAAAACATCAATATTTTGTTTCTGGCTTCGTAAAAAAAAGTCTGAGATTCAGAGGTGAGTGTGATTGGTTGATTTTCCCCGTTGAGTTCCTTCAGCTGGGCGACACAGAACTATAGCATATATCGCTGGATTGGATTTAATCCTGAAATAATCCACAGAAATTTGAGAAAGTAGGTGAAAATGAACTTTCATTTACATCAGCATTATGACCTGTATATATGCCTGAAAGACATAAATCACCATCCTTGACTATTAACAAAGGTTCACAAGCCAACTGTTTAATTGTTCTAAAATTAATTTTGAATTTAGCATTTTGTTTGTTCCCACATCACAATTACATTTGAGGGTACAAAAATGTAAGATAGGATTAAAATCCTTGGTCAATCTCGATGTAACATAAATGAAACATATTGATAATTGATTGCCTTTTAATTTAGTTGGAAACAGTAGTGGGTTGCCACACATGAAAGTATAGCTAATCAAGTTCTTTTATCTGATCAAATTATGAATTAATGTGTAGCTGGGCCAAGAGTATGGATGTACTTCCAGATTGGTTTCCAAAATGCTTTGAAAGTGTAATGCCTATTTGTATTATGTTCAGCATTGTTGTGATTTGTCTTATATAACTTTTCAGGACACTGAAAGTGCAAGAATTCTGTGCCACAACAGGGAATTGATCCACTGCCTGGTTAATGAAAGTACACCTTCCTTCCTTCCCAGAGTAATTTACTTGTTACTGTGTCCAGTCTGTCCCCGAAAAGCATAACAGCAGCTCCAACTTTATTCCAACTTTATTCAACAAAACCTCTGTGAGATAAATTAGATTGAGAAAGTAATAATCTTAAATTACCTACATAATATGTAGTGAAACTTTTTTTTTAAAAAAATGTAACTTCAACTGACTAGGCTAGTACTATCAGGAAGAATCTCAGAATTAAAAGAATGGTACTGAAACATCAGTGGAAAATAATTGAAAACAAAATTGGGAGATTATATAGCAGGAAGATATTTTCACTGTCCTTCTGCCTACATTTTATTGTTGAGAGATTGTCTTGACGCCATGAACATTTACTGTTAAGAATAATTAAATAGAGCTGCAGATATCTTGACATACAGAAAATGGAAAAGTGGAAGATTTTGAGTGGAAAAATTAAATGTTGTGTTGATATACTAAACTCGGGAGGAGCAGTATTTTATTGTTTCTGGGTATACTATTTATTGGTGGCTAATTTGAAATGGAACATTTCTTTTTAAAAAAATCAGAAATAGTTGCAGCATTTTAAAAGCTTCACAGAGGTAGAACCAAATGTGAAAGCTTTTGTGTACTTATACACAAAAATATATTTATAAATCTCTTCCTACATTTCAGTAGAAAAAGAAAAGGTAAAGAGTAAAGGTAGCAGATATTGGCAGCACTAAATATTCATGCTAAAACTTGGCAGCACTTTAGGAAAATGGAGGTAGATTAGCCACAAAAAGGCTTGAATATATGAGACTGGTTATAAAACTGTGCAGACTCATCCAGAGCTCTTCTTTTAATATCTGTGGCTGCAGACAACAGAGAGTGGCTAAGCATTTTTAAAAAATACTGGAGTTGATCAGCAACATAATTAAACAATGTATGTAAGACACAAAAGGCTACCACAGCAATGTCTATCAGGGCTTTGGGTAAGGCATACTTCCATGATTCTGTTTCTGGTTGGAAAATATCTGAATCTGCCTTGAATGATAAATACCATCAGTGGAGAAACATAATCCATTTGGTTCCAAGTTCCAGCAAGCAAGATTAAGAGGTATCGTAACCCTAAAACTAATGAATTTATATTTATATAGCATTTTTTACACTTTTGGAAACAGTGAAAAACAAAGGCAAGTGGAATATTTTTATTTATTTATTAAATGCTGCTTACAAATAGTAAAAAGATGAATATAAAAACAAATACAATTTTAAAAAGTTATATAAAAAACTAGAACCCAGGAGATGGATGGCACAGGGGTAAGATCTCCTTAGCTCATTAACCATCTCCAGTACCCTCCCATGAAGCCTTAAGGCAAAACCAGGAAAAACCAGGTTTTAATACCTCTGGAAGGCCAAAAGACAGGGGCAAATTGGGGCAAGACGACTCCTCAGATATGACAGGGAATATATGCCAGATCTCTGATATTTTGGACAACTGCTGGATAGATGTGGTTACACTTATAACTTTTAGATAAATGGATTGGCTAACATGGATTTGAAATCTGAGTTCATCAAGTTTTTCTCCATCAAGCCTGAATTATAAGTAGTATTTCAGGACAGAATGATCAGTAGGTATATTTTGAGATTATATAGATTTCTTTGAGTACAACAATATTTTTGCTAATTTTTGTTGTTACCATGACAGACCCACATGTGCCAGAAAGCTTGGCTCAGATTTCAGTGACTACGACTATTTCATCTGAGGCAAAGCTAGTGGGTGTGCCAATTACAGGTGGCAAAAAAGGGCTTTTTGAAACACAGTGCCAATGATGAGATGCCTGCCATACATGACAGCAACTGAGCTTGCTTGAATAAGTGACCCATCATCCACATACACTTGAGTGATTTTAGGTTTGTCAGAAAGAATATCTTTGACAAGAAGGACCTGGAAGAAATCAAACAGAAATAAATTAGCCAAACACTTGCATAAAACTTTATAATAAGAATCCTGCTAAAACTTTCCATTCTGCTAGGTTTAAAAGAATAATTCAGGAATACCAGAAGACTAAATAAAATAGAATGAATTACAGAACTAAGAAAAGAGGTTCTCATTTCATGTTTCATGATGTAGAGGTAATCCTCAATTTATGACCTAAACTGAGCTTGTAATTTTGGTTGTAAATCATGATGGTCATAAAGCAGGTCATTCTATGGCTGCTATGGATTTTATAAGCTTTTTTTTATGGTGTTGTGGCTGTCATTAAGCAAACTCATTATTCACTATGGGACATTTTTTGCTAGAAACTGAAAATAAATGCTGGTTTCTGGCAAAAACACTGCAAACACTGCTTTGAGTTCCTGAATTCTGGTAATGTCCGATACATGGAATAGGATATTGGCTAGACTGGTTGAGTGCAACTCTTCTGAAATGTTTCTTGTTCTATTTAAAGAAGCATTTTGTTCTTGTTCAAATAACTGCAGATTTTTTTACCAGCTAATTTACAGGTAGTCCTTGAATTATGACCACAACTGAAACCAAAATATAGGTTGCCAGCAAGACATTGGTTAAGTGAATTTTACTCCATTTTACAACCTTTCTTACCTTAGTTATTAAGTGAATCATAAGTTAGTAACATGGTTATTAAGGGAATTGGCTTTGCTTCTCAGAAGGTCACCACAAGGAATCACACACAATCCTGGGACATTGCAATCGTCATAAATATGTGCCTGTTGCTAACTCTGAATTTTGATCATGTATGGGGATGCTGCAATGGTCATATGAAAAATGGTCACAATTCACTTTTTTCAGTGACGTGCCTTTGAATGGTCAGTAAATGAACTGTTGTATCTTGAGGACTACCCATATTCATTCTGGTTGATAAATTATAGTATATCTTGTCAAAATAATTCTTACTAACTAACCTCTGAGCCAGGAGGATTCTTTGGATCATAAGAAAGGAGTTTTGCAGCATTGGGGTGACATCCTAACCAAAGGTCTCCATTTCTACGGTCAACTGATATGTTATCAAGGACAGTTTCCAATTTTAGGGCCTACAATGAACACAAAAACATTTGTATATCTCTTAGGTTTGAAATAAATACAAGACATTTGCTACACAATTTTATCCACTTTTTTCTCTTATTCCAACACCATCTTCCTTTAGTTACAGATAACACCATATGCTGTCAGGAAATATCTATCCTTCATAAATGGCTCTGACTGATCACTCTTCTAGTTACAAAGGCCCAATTCTATTAGTGGTCCTGAGTTACCAGTATTAATATTCCATTGACATTGGTCATAAACTTACCAAATGCCAATAATATTAATTCACTAGGATTAACAGAAGATACATATTCACAGAAATATATAAGATATCATAGAAGAGAGCTTAAATTTAAAAAAATATATTCAAGATCTAATTTTTGTTTCAGATATAAAGAATACCAGTCTTTGATTTTAGCCAAAGAGAACCAAACTTACCTTCACAGGAGATAAATTCATATTAGACATTCTTTGAAAGACGTGAATGCTATGATCCAAAATATCAGCAACGTAGACAAACCTTGAAATGACATATTGTTAATTTTACTTATTTCATTTGTAAATTATTTGTCCTTACTTCTATACCCCCTGTCCCAGAGTATATAGAAAAATAATCAATTAAAAAGAATCTGATAAAATGACCAACTATAAAACCATTTGGTATAAAGGGGTGGGGCATTGGTGGGATTGAGAAGCCCCTTTTCCACTGGGGCCCCTGCCCTGTGAAATAGTTTACTATTGCATTAAGGTAGAATTTCCATATTTTTAGTGAATTCTAATCACAACATCTTTTAAAATCATTATTAAAATTAATTTTATTTCATTAATACCACTCTGTTTTCTTTTAAGAAAATCTTTATTAAGATCAGCAAAGGTTGACTGGTGATGTTATCTGTTGTGG